TAGGAGATCACTTAATTTGAGCGGAGATAAAAAAAAAAAAAAAAAAAAAAAAAAAAAAAAAATTGCGCCAAAATGTGGGATAAAGCTATTTCAGAAACTAAAAAATGGCTTGGTGGGGATTGTCCCCCCTGCCGCCGGGCTTGCGCACATTAGTATATTTGTTTACTTATGTACATTGTGTACAGAAGCACTACTTTACTACGTATATTTATTATATACGTGAATTTTACGCCTATACACCAACGTGACTTAAGGCTTACAAGGCCATACATAGCCATTTGCCGCGGAGCAGTGTACAATTGTACAGAATAACCGTAAGTTTATGCTATATTACAATAATATACGCGCAATTCAATCGTGTTTGTTTTCTTCGCGCAAAAATATATTTGCCGGAAAAATTAATTATACTCTTGTTATTTTGTGCCGATTCGTTACGTTCATTTTGCATGGAAGCAATTTTTGCTCCTTTCGTGAATCCATTTTTGTGGCTTTGATATTTTTTTTAAAGAAAAAATTCTTTTCTCTCTTCGTGCTTTTATTACTACTGTGTTGGTATTTGGCTTCACATCTCAGGCGTTTTCATGCAGAAGCGTTTTCACCGCTGCGTTTATGTTTTTGTTTGCTTCGTGTTTGCATATGCGAGCGCATGGTAAAAGTGTACATAATATGCGTTTATGTTTACATGTACATGTTTCTCGTGTACCTTTGCGTCCTTCCATATTATGACCATTACCCAACTCCAGTATAATTTCCCCTCCGTGTTATATGCATATAATTAAGCAGTACAGTGGTATAAATTCTATACTTTGCCCCTAACTGAATGTGGTGTTTATATACACATACACAGGCGAATAGGTAAAATGTACCCATTCCCCGTATGTAGTTTTTTCAGTAAATATTGGAAAAAGAAATTTTAAATATATCACCATGTACTTGTAAAAAATAAAAACAGTACATAACTTTTTGTATGTACCCATTTTGTGCGCGTTTCTAATGAGGAAAATATATGCATGAAAAGGGTTTTTTTTGCCGTTTTTGCAATTTTCGCAGTTTTGTATCTACTCTTTAAGAGTTTACACGTGTGCCTTCATTGCGCGCACGGTATTTCTCTCCTGTGCTTTTTTACCTCCATATGCATATGCCTACACGTACATAAATGTGTGCACTTTTTTGTGACCGTTCTGAATTCGTCATATATTTTTTTTTTAGTACATGTTTCCTCCATGATATTCCCTGTGCTCTGTACCGATTATGAAATTGGCACAGATTACGTACCTCGCGGTAGTACTTCTTACATTGGAGGCACGTAATCTGTACGCCACGCCCACTCGTGCATGAAGGTTGTTTTGTCCACGAATGTACAGCCTAGGAACGCATTTCTAGGTGCTAATTATTTCTATAAGTGCACACAGTACCCTAGAACATGTCCTATTTTCTCGTCTGCAAGGGGGGTAATGAACTTTTTTTATCACGTCTCCCCTAACGATTTAGCACCCATTTGAGCTGAATTAACCGAACGTGGTGTGGTTCCACACGTGTATACTTCGTGTGCCCATGTATACCACATATATATGATTTTTTTGGCGCAAATTTACGCCCCTGGATAATCCGCTTTTAAAATTTTCGCGAGAGTTACCGCGAAGTTGTGTTTGTCCGTGTTTGCTTTTGCATCTTGGCATCGTCGCATCGCTGCACCTTTGCATACGTGTATATTCCAGCCAGTTTGTAAACAGTAAACAGAATTTCGAATCGTAATTCGTATTAGTCAGTGTGTACAGCGGTACCCCTGCGACATTCTGCTTTACCAGATGGGTGTATATACTTACGGTACACATACACATATATATATGTGCTAACGCAGCCGTTTTTCTTTTGAACTTTTTTTATTTTGTTCAGTTTTGTTCCCCTCTTTGGCGTGTCCAATTTGTTAAAGCTTCCTTGAACTTTAATACATGTTCCATTTCTGCTTATCCACTTGGAATAGCGGAACCAATAATTTGTTTTAATGCTTTGTGTGTTAGAACTTCCTATGTGTTAAGCGTGTTAAAAGTGATGCCTAAGCATTGGCAGCTACATGCGTTTACGCGTAGTTGACCCTGATTTTAAATGGTCCAGAAGTAGGGTCAGCGTCGCTGAATTGCGTTCGTTTTTGCTTTTTCCATTATTGGATTACCCTCTTTTGGTTACCACATATTTGTGCTTCCCCGCCCCCTCTGTGTTCCCCATATTTTGCGGAGCAAGTGGCGACCGAGATCAACTGCTGATTCTCCTGAGAGTAAGAAAATCCGTTGTGCGCACAGAGTGTACTGTGCCTTCATCTAGATGTGTTCACCCTATTGACATTCAGCATTTTTGCGAATATGTGCCCCCGGTTTGTGTTATGTACGTACGAATGAATGAATACATGAATGTGTGTGTACCTGCGCGCCGTGGCGAATTTGTAAGCAGATATCGGTGGAGAGGCGAATCTGCAGCATCATGTACATAGGTACACACATGTGTATGAACATATATATATGCTTATATATATACACGTGAATACAGGAGGCGCGTTGTAACTCGCCGTTGTGCGTCCAACCAAATTCTTTAAAGTAAAACAATTTTGTTTCAAACTTTTTAATAAAACATTTTACTTCGTAAGGAGTAGTACGTGCGCGCATTTTTGTTTTTGCGTTGCTCTGTTGTATTGTATTGTATTGTGTTGTGTTGTGTTGTGTTGTGTTCTTTTTTTTTTTTTTTTTTTTTTTTTTTTTTTTTTTTTTTTTTTTTTTTTTTTTTTTTTTTTTTTTTTTTTTTTTTTTTTTTTTTTTTTTTTTTTTCAATTTTGGTTAAAATTCTCCAGTGCGCATATGTCATGTGTATATAAATATATGGGTCCCCAATTTTAGCATTTTGCACTGCGCATTTCGCTTGTACGTTTTTGGCGTTCAGACGGAAGGCGCAGATAAATGGGTGAAGAAAAAAAATCCGCCTTAGGAGTTAACACAGCGTGTGCGTGTATATGTATGTGTACACACGTGTATTTTTTGCACATTATTTCCGAAGCGTTGTAAAAATATTGGAAAAAAAAGGATCACGCAGCGTCATTTCGCCCACCGTCCGCAAGCGTTGCAGCACCTTGTGAAAGCATTTCGCGTATTTGAAAGCATAGAACAGTTGTACAACTCTTCTGTACGCTTGTATGATATACGTAGGTGCATCAAACCCGTGTTGTGATATATGCACGTGTGTGTTTTGAGTAGTGGGTTTAGCGCTAACTGTACAGCGGCCAACTTCTTATCTATCAACTTTCGTAACAGCCAACTGGGCGGCGCAGTCCGCGTGTCCCCGGCGCGAACACCATGGGGAATTTATTGAACAGCATAATTTTTAGGCCACACCCGCCGAGCTACTCGAAGAATCAGGAGGATTTGCACTTTTTCGAAACTAAGCATGGCAGTACGATATGCGGGGTTTTCATTGACAACAAGGCGGACACAACGGTTTTATTTAGTCACGCAAATGCAGAAGATATAGGAGATGTGATGCGCTTTTATCAGTACCGATTGAAACAATTAGGGTTGAATCTGTTTGCGTATGACTATAGCGGGTATGGGCACAGTTCAGGTTACCCCACGGAAATGCATGTGTACAATGATGTAGAGGCAGCATATGATTATTTAGTGAAGCAGTTACGCGTTCCAAGGCACAGCATAATAGCATATGGTAGGAGTTTAGGTTCAGCTGCATCTGTTCATCTAGCAACAAAGACTAATTTGCTGGGTCTAATTCTTTCAGCTCCATTAGCATCCATACATCGGGTGAAGTTAAAATTAAAATTTACCTTACCTTATGATTCCTTTTGCAACATTGACAAGGTACACATGATTAAGTGTCCCATTTTGTTTATCCATGGCACGAAGGACAAGCTTCTTTCCTATCACGGTACAGAAGAAATGATTCGAAGGACAAATGTGAATACCTATTTTATGTTTATAGAAGGAGGGGGCCATAACAATTTGGATAGCTCCTTTGGTAGTAAGGTAAATGCAGCCTTGGTAACTTTTCTTTATGTACTTAAAAATAATATTAGAGAAAATGTAAACAGTGTATATGACATATCCAATGTAAACATGCAGAAGTTAAGGAACATGTTCATTATGAATAATGCAAAGAATATTAAGGACAAAGTGAAAGAGAGAAACAGGAGAGGCGGAGAGGACAGTGGAGCGTTGACTGCTTCAGCAGAGAGTACAAATGGAGGACAGTCTGATATGAATAAAGGTACAGGCAGTAATGAAGTATTGAACTCCTTTATGAGTAATATGGAAAAATGGTATTCTAATGAGAGTGTGTTTAGGGTTAAGACGAAGGAGTCAGGTTATGATTCTTCTCACAGTGCTAGCAGTGTTGTAGGATCTGTTGAGTCCTGCACGAGATACATACCTGACAATACATTTTACGAGAGTGACACGAATATTACTTTTGAAGACCTTTGGAAGTATACGCGTGTGAACAATAACGTAGATAAAAGTAAAATGCATAATGGCAAGGCGAGCGGCGGTTCGTCTTGTAGCTCTTTGACCAAGCAGAGTGGGACAGGGAGAACTGACCGTACTGTAGTAGGCAATCGGGCAGGATACCGGGGAGGTAGTAGAGAACGTTACCCAGATGGCAGACGAATCGACAGTAGAGAAGGCAAGGACAAGAACCGCCTGAAGGGAGGATGTTCAAGTTACGTGTACAACCCTACGAAGAGAGAAAATGTGACGTCCTCCTCCCATATGAGCCACAGTCCAAGCCCTAGCAGCCGCAGCAATATCCACATGGGTAGCGAAAAGGACTTGGCGCAACGAGGGAATGTGAATTGCATGTATTATAGCTCATCAGAAAAAATGAACTCTAAAAGGTCGAGAGAGAGTAGAAATGTGTACACGGTGGATAGGGTGCCAAGGGTTTCCCTGGACATGAACAATGCTCTTCCCCCCGTGGATGAAAGGGGAAGCGGCAGCCTTCAGGGTAGTGACAGAAGCTATGCACACAGGGATGGGAAGTGTGATAACGGAAGGGAGCAGGCAATGGGGTCGCATAGAAATGGGAGGCAATGTTCGGCGGAGTCAAGAAGAGTGGGAGGTGTAGGTGGAGGAAAAGGAGGAATGTCCGGGATGAACACGGGGTCGTACTCGTCACGTGGTCATGTGATCCGGGGCATGAATAGCGACAATGACAGGATGTTTGAAGGGAAGGGTGGAGTAAATGGGAGCGCAAGTAACGTGAGCCTGGTGAGTGGCGCGTCCAAGGAGAGCAAAGCCAGCAATGTGAATAGTGAACCCTCCAAAGGGAGCAAGGTCAGCAGTTCGGATGCAGCGCCCAAGGACGAGAGAGCCAATGCAATGAGCGAGGGGAGGATTGCAATCAAAGGAGGAAGCAGCACGAGCGAACATGCATACGCGATTCCCTACTATTCCAAACGAGGAAACAACATACGTAAGGAAATGAAGAACAAAATAGGCGACATGAGTAGCCTCAAGTTAAACAGCTACCACGACTTTATCTACGGAATTAAGAAAACAAAATTGTTGAGTTCCCCAACCAGATTATGGAGCATGTAAGGATGGAAGTGTCTTCAGCTAGCAGCACCACTTTGAATAACCTGAATTCGTTGTTTTGACTAATGATCCATTTCGAATGAACATCGTGGGTATAAAAGGGGGGCGGGATTCGTGTCGTGCGGCATATGCGAGCGGTGAGTAGTAGGGACAAGACCGTTGGGAATAATACGGCATATGAATATATTTTCCCCATTTGGGGAGTATGTCACATGTAGCAAAGCGGGGCGATTTGTTTGCAGTTGGAGGGCCAGCCGAGGGCGCTTCTGTCCCCCCCCTTTGTTGTACTAAGGGTGTAGACCAGCTTGTTTTTGCAGCACTTTGAGGACGAATTCGTAGTAGGGAGAGCAGCCAGTGAAACGACGCGCAGTTACGTCAGGGAGTTGTATTACTGACATAGGTTTGAATCCCATGAAAAGTGCGCCACTGGGAAGTAGCTGTGATGGAATATATGGAATAGTAGTTTTTGGGTAGTTTGCTACCTAACGCCTCTCCAAGCTTAGGACGTCTGCCGGTGTACCATCGAACGTTCGTGAGTTTGTTTCTAATTACACATTAAAGGATTTACCCCTGTAGCACATTTGACCCAAACATTTGAGCACATATGTTTAATTTGTGGATAATGCTTATATGTATCTCCCGCGTGGGAGATATGAATTTTTTTTCTTTCCTTTTTTGAACACACATGCAGCGTTTCATTTGTGCATCCGTGCATGCGTTGATATGTGACTTTACCCCTTGGCGCGATTTAATTGGGAACGGGTCCCGGCATTTTTACGAAGTTTCCTGTCGTGTCATTTCATATGTCCTTTTCTTTGTGGTTATTGTTAAAGCCCCTTTTTAAAGTGATAGAAAGGTATCATCCATTTAGCAACTCTCCGTGCCCCCGTTTGTTTGTCCCCCCAAAAAATGAGTACTTATGGAAAAGAAGCGTCGTTTGTGGGACGTCTGGCTGCTCCGCGGACACAGTTTTTTGTTTTTCCTTACCGCTCACGCAACACATGAAGAGTTCACTTGGAAGTTTCAGGTGCATCAACATGTGTTCACATTTTTATGTAGTTTATGTGTGTATATGTGTTTATCTCCTCTTTTTATTCCCCACCGATTTTCCCTAAAATAAACTTTAAAATAAAAACTTAGCTTTAAACAACCATGTATTATACAAGATCATGTCTTGTTGACATGGTTTTTTTTTTTTTTTTTTTTTTATGGTATATGATGTAGCCATTTGGCAGGTTTCCCTTAATGTACAGGGAGAGCACCCATTGGTATAAACTTCCCCCCCCATCCTTTAACTCCTTAAAGACTGTCATAGTGGATGATCCCTTTGAAGTGAACATGTTTTCCGGATGGAAAACATATGGGTGCGTTTATTCTTTGTTCCATTAGCTTGTAATTTCAGTAAATGGGGATCCACATATTTTAGGCGGTCACACTCCCTGCATGAACAGCTAACAGGCTTCCAATTTAGGTTTGCGCACGAAGGGAGAATTGCCTGCCGCGGTGTGTCATCTGTGATGTATCGCTCGTGAGGATGAGTTTCCTTGCACGGTTAATCATATAAGGACGGGACAAAAAGGCATATTTTTTTTTTTTTTTCTCAATGGCGCTTAAAACGTGCAACATTTTTTGTTCCAAGGCGGCTCTATTTTGGTTAGTACATTTTGTATGTAAATGTGATAGATGTTCGTGTTGCCCATACATGTCCGTCATTTTTTTTAGCTGGGGTAATCGTGCGGCAACCCCATTTTGAAATTGCCCGTAGTATCGGCCCCCTCTCCTGTATTGTTGCTCAGTCCAGCGGTTGGAAATTTTAATGATTTTTTTTTTTTTTTTTTTTTTTTTTTTTTTTTTTTTTTTTTTTTTTTTTTTTTTTTTGCGAAGTTGTTCCTTCAACATACAGTTCACATTTTGAGTGCAACAAAGGCGTGGTGGTCCCCCTTGTTTGTGCCATTTTGGAGAATTTCCGAAACGGCTTTTTAATTTTCTCTGGTTGCGTTAGCGGACGAACATTTTTGGCCTCTTTCACGCGGGTTTTAAAATGCCGCAGGTTTGGAACAAAGCTGCAGGAATGTAGAGAAAATTATTAAGGGAATTAGGCTATGAATAATAGGAGTAAAGCGCATGTTAAAATAGTCGCCTGTTTTTTTTTTTGAGGGAAATTTGTTTACCATTTTGCCTCGAGAATTATCTTAGAAACGATTTGATTTGAGTATTTTTTTTGTTGCTTCCTTTGAGCAGTTTTGGCAGACCTCTATGCTACTGCGAACAGGGGGATGAGAGTGTAGCCGAACTGGTTATGTGGAACAGACTATGCTTCGCTCAGTGGTCCTTAGGGCTCTTCCCCTGTGCGCGCTCTGTTCGAAAGGGCGTATATACCCCTTGTGTAAACTCAATTTTGTGGAAACGCGATAGGACACAATGAACGTGAACAGCAAAAAGTTGCAGGTAATATGTGGGGCCTAAGAGGCGGTGGTATGGTGTGGCCACCAGTTGTAGGTGCGTGTGTGCTAGGTTTATGTGAGTATTTAAGAAGGATGCGTATCGCATGTGCATCACATCGTCGTCACACCGCTTTCCCCTCGCGCAGGTGAAGAACAAGAACGCAGCGGAGGTGCAGGTAACCGCGGAGCAGCTGATAAATGAGGCACTGGACCTGGAGGAAGTCGAGCAGAAGGTGAACTACAACCTGATTGACGAGGATGAGTTGAACGAATACAAAATAAGTAAGAGAAAAGAGTATGAAGACAAAATAAGGAAGAGAAGATACCTCATTAGCACGTACATAAAGTACGCCCTCTGGGAGGTGAAGCAAAAGGACATTAAAAGAGCAAGATCCATATTCGAAAGGGCATTAAATATAGACTACACAAATGTAAATTTGTGGTTAAAATATATAGAAGTAGAATTAATGAATAAAAATATAAACAGCGCTA